CTTGAATCTGTTCTTGGCCAAGAACTTGCCCAAATTTGACTTCTTTTTGCAAGTATCTTCAATTTGAATTCTTCATGAATGCTTCAGTTTCAAGATTTTTTGCTCATAAAATTAAGCGTTGTCCTGTCTGAGAATTTAAAAACCTCTTTTTGGTTTGGGGAGGACATGGCCCTCCTCCAGTCGTCTTAATGGATTAGAAAACTATGAAATCAAGAATAACACCCATTTTATATGTGCATCTTGCTTTTATTTCTCTACCACCTACACAGTCGCTGATAACTGAACCCAATAGACATTCTGAAAAGCAAATAGCAACAATTGTTGGAAAATTTATGCGTATACATACTGAAGGAAATCAGTTCTAAATGTGGAATAATGTGGAATACCACCTACACTGTCGCTGATAACTGAACATAATAGACATTCTGAAGAGAAAATAGCAACAATTGTTAGAAAATTTATGCGTATACATACTGACAGAAATCAGTTCTAAATGTGGAATAATTGTCCTGTCTGAGTATTTAAAAACCTCTTTTTGGTTTGGGGAGGTCATGGCCCCGTCTCCCATCCTCCAATCGTCCTAATGGATTGGAAAACTATGAAAAAAAGAATAACACCCATTTTATATGTGCATCTTGCTATTATTGCTCTACCACCTAAACAGTCGCTGATAACTGAACCCAATAGACATTCTGAAAAGCAAATAGCAACAATTGTTGGAAAATTTAGGCGTATACATACTGAAGGAAATCAGTTCTAAATGTGGAAAATCAGTGTTATGCGGTCACGCGTCGGAGAACACTATACTGAATCAATAGGCCGTAGACTCACAAGCGGCAATTAGTGTATGCCCTCAGCCCCTGAGTTTGGCAGTTTTCCAGGGCTTATTCGGTGTTGGAGTTTGATCAAAGCTGCATTTTATTATCATTCATGTGATATGCCCAAACCCTAACTGAAATCAATTTGTCTACATAAGTAAAAAAATTGGCTAAGAAAAATGTGAGTTTGACTCCCCATTTAAAGTATGTTTTATATTTCATTTTATTACGGTTTATTTATACTTCCTGCGTCTGTGCAATTTCCCCTTCATTTATCAATTATTTACTCCACAGCTGGATCAAAGAAATAAGCTGTTGGAAAAGTCAATGAGTTCACGCATTCCAACTGAAATGTCTTGACAGGGAATCATAATTTAAATCTACAAGCTATGTACAAGCCGTTTTACTCAGTGATTCTCTATCGTGTTACTTACAAAAGGCCAAGTAAAAAAATAAAATGGTTAGAATGGACACCTATCCAGCTTTTGTCCCTTTCCCACTGCCGTTTATAAATTTTTCTTTCAATGTTGTAATTTCATCCGCTTTTTCGCTCTGTTTTGGGGTAGAATCTGGACCACAGGACTGTTACTTATCAATAGATAAGAAGTTGGTGCCCAAAATCACATACGTCATTTTTAAGTTGACCTTTCACACAAAATTAAAATACATTGTTACCATAGTTTTATCTACAAAGCATAATCCATCTTGTTTCCAAAAGTGAAAGAAGAGAAGCGAGAGCTTCCTTCGATTAAAGAAGGAATCATACAGTTCATTACGCGAGTCGTTGCTGTTTGATTTCAGTGCTTTCAAACTCCATATACATACATTTTAGAATTTTCAAACAGATTCGAGCCTGGTTTACTTGCTGTACGTGTTGGTTCATGTTTATGTGTTTATTGTACCGTTAGTTTGATACATTAAGTAAATGAAACTATCGGTTCAATAGTTACGTCAGTTCTTGTGGTATCAAGCAACGTCAATACACGAAAAATGAAATGATCAACAGCGCATGTTACGGACGTATTCCACCAGACAACATTTCCAGGTACAACAGAGTACAGTGCAGTACAAAGACTATACAAAGACTCTCATAGTATGCTACAACACCATTACAGCAAAACACTCGACACCAGCAACAAAAGTGGCGTGTCAAATTACATGCTTAAAGTGTATGTACACGTTATCATGTCGTTTGTACTTCCCCTTGGCTCATCAGCTTCGGGATTTTCAACATTTATGTTATCTCGAATGCACAACTTTATCATTGAAGCGTGGTTTGCCCGATAAGAAAATTGTACAATTCATTGGTTCACTTTAAATACAACTCAATTCCTGCTGTTCAGTGCGAGTGTCAAAGGTATTACCCAACAACGATGTGAAAGTTTGTTCAAATCATGGTCTTTGGTAGAAGTGCTTGAACTACCAAAACTGTAGGTATTTGAGTAATATGAAAAACAAGGCCGGAAAAGCCGTCTGCTTAACACTGAGTGTTCAATAACACAATGAGTGTCCATTAACACTAAGTGTTTAAATTCATGATTGAACTTACTAACCCATCACAAGTCTCGTATTATACCTCTTAACTGATACGCACTGTTTAACGCAGGGTGTTTAACATCCATAATCGTCCAGGGAATGGGTTTGGATAAATGTAGACTTACGTCACATCTATCTCAATATCCAAACCTTACATTCGACGGTTGTTTATTTCACATACAGTTTTCACCTTAGCAGTATTGCAAACGTAAATTCAGCTTGCTTTACCACCGCACGTTCCCCTTTTAAATTGTATGGGAACGAATACTGTATCAAAAGCTCTGGAGGATCACACGTATTCAACCAAAATACATGTGTATTATTTACTCCAGAACTTTGTTATGAACAGACGTGATTCACGACTTAGTTCACTCGGCAGTGTCCCGAGTACGCTACGGCACTCTTTCGTTGCGCCGTAATTTGTCCGCGAGTTTTAACTCAACAAAAGACTGCCAACTATCTCGACGGCAGGAAAATCTATTCCTCCCCAGACGCGAGTGATGGCATACAGGACCCCTCTTGGCCCTTCATCGTCACACCTGACGATTATTTTTCCTCAATTGCAGCATAACTTGTCTTGCCCTCATTTTGGGGCAACTTGTCGCACTGGATATTCCCCAAAATGTAAACGGAAACTATAAAATAAGCTTTCAGCATCCTATAGCTTTTAACATTTTGGGAATCCATCGTGGACAATATTTTCATAGAGAACAGACGCGTTTCACGATGCAGTTCGCTATTCGGCGCGGTCCCAAGTAGGCCTACACTACTCTTCTCCTGCGCCGTCACTTGTCCCCGAGTTTTAACCAAAGCAAATGACTGCTACTTACCTCGACGACAAAGAAAATTCCTGCTTAGACGCCAATCTAATCTGCAGGTATACGGGGCCTCTCGTGCCCCTTCAATATATCCGTCACACTGACGAACATTTTCAACAACTGCAGTTCTGGTAGTTGCCCCATTTTGGGGCTTCTTATCATACTCCATATTATGGAAATACAGACCGATGTACCTATAAAAATTGTGCAAGTTTTAACATCATAGCTTGTAACATTATGGAGATCAATAACACATTTGGCACAGAACATTGCAACATGTGTTTCTATGACGCCCCATTTTGTCAGTGAGTTCCAATCTTTTGAAAGAGAGACGAAACGTCACGTCGTTCCCTTTTTTTATAAGCGGGCTCATGTGAGCTTTCGATACAGACTTGACTCTGTTTTGTTTTGGTATGTCTTGATTCATGCAAACGGAAGAAAAAAAGCTGAAACATTATGTCCGGAAAGGTTTGATGAAAAACAAAATGATGTCTACACTACACGCAAGAAAAGGAGATCAGCTTCCAAATATTACATAAAATTAAAGGTGTGATGCCTTGTAGAAACAGCTCCAAATACAACAAGAAGAGGTTCAAAACATTTCAAATTGTGTGATGTGGTCTTTCGTATAGTGACGACCAGAAAGCAGACAGAGCACAAGTTGAAATGTTACGGAGATCTTATGGTACCATAAACAAGGGCAAGGGTCTGGGTTTTGGTTCATTAATTGCGTTGAAAAAGTTAGAAAAACGAGCTGCATTAGCGAAATCAACAAATCAATATCAAGTCGTAAAATAATTCAGCGATTTTAGAAACAAAGACTCTCCCGTCTCTTGACATCAGGCCGACCCAGACCCTCTTCTCAAGACCCTTTCACTCCTGATCTTGAAATTCGGTACTGCTGGACTCCAGCTGAGGATGCACATCGCAGGTGGGGCCGTCTCTTGCTACGACCCTGCCGACATCTCGATCCAACGGGTGGCTTGAAGCTGCTGGCTGGCTCTCCTGCACAGAGAGTGGAATCGTCTCGGGGTTTGGCTCGGCTTGGACCTCCGGTTCACCCGCCCCTTGAAATCAGGACAAAATCTCACAAACGTGCTTAATAAACCTAACAAACTGTATTATCAAGTAAAAGAGTAAACAGTGCGACGTGTGAGGTGAATGTAACAGTCAGTAATGTGCTTGATGTTCTACTCGTGATAAATTTTGTTTGTTTACTGTTGTCGGCTACGTTTTATTCACTTTGGTGTGAAAACAACGACATCACCCAAACAACGTCTCTGACAAATGAGAAACAGTTCTGTGTTACGCGCTACTTGGTGAACAAGGCACAACAATCAGAATCATTGTATTTTCGTAAACCAACAAAATTTGACGGATTATGCATGCTAGGAGATACAGACGGTCAGCACAACACCGTATCACATTCTGAATCACTTTTAGCACCTTTGTGCCATTAACGTAGTGTTGGTCATCGAACTATGGTTGTACAAATAATGTAATGGTCATTGAAAGGTATTAGCAGAAGCAACATTTAATAATAGTTTAGAATGGCACCGATTCTGCAAGCACCTTTATTTCAACAGCACTGAAAGACTTAAAATATATAAGACAAAATAAAACATTTTGAGCCACACCTTGCTTTTTCTTGTGATGAAGCAAAACCAGCACCAAGAGGATGCCAAAAATAATGGCGAGACCTAGAACCAGCAGAATCACCCACCAGGGAACATTTCCTGTACATGGGAACCAGTAGGATTACAACAGTGTAAAATCACAGCAAGAGAGCACACAAGGTATTAACAATTAAACAGCATTTTCCGGTTTCCAAAATTAAATGTCCCCAGATAAGGATCGATTCCAAACAAGGCCATCGCCCCGCATTCTTAACAGGTCTACTGTGATTCAACACAAACCTTGTCCAAGATGCTCACTTTCCCCGTTCCCGCCGCCATCGCTCTTTCCTGCTTCGCTGCTCGGTGGACCCTCCGCGGAGTCCCCGCTGGTATTTTCGTCATATCCAGGGGGTGGTCTAGGGCCATCTGTAACATTGGGGGCAGCCATCGTAGAAGGTTGGGCAGTCGGGGCTGGGGTTGATCTTTTCCCAGTTGTCTGTGTAGTTGTTGATCCTGCAAAGTTGCAGTTTCGCAAACAAATCACACGAATCGTTCAGTCTTAGAGCAAATCACAAGATATATACAAATAGACTTATCCAATCATTCTCTCTTCAATTCTACATGGCATTGTTAATAATGTTAATTTTGAGCTAACAGACTGCATCTAATTCTGTAACGAGATTGGAAATTAGAAAAGGGATAAGTCTGCCGAATGTAACATTGAGAATTAGAAGTTAAAACTTATGGGAAAACTGCGATCAAATATCTTTCTCTCTTCAGTCTCCAGGCTCATGGACCAGTAATAGTTCAGACATTTATGGTTAAAGTGCGGAGAATTTCTTACATGAAAAAGTTCCCTCAATGTTAATCTGCTGATAAGCTTTAAAATTTACTGTTTTGGTTAAATACCTTTGTTTTCAATCACTATTTTCACGTAACTAAAGTAAAGATAAACGACTGACAAGTCGTATAAAGTGCATTGCTCTAACAATCCAATGTCATGGTCAACGAGAACGTCGAAAATGTTCGTATTGAAAAAAATATGTATTTTTGTAGCGGAACCAAGATCTCATCTTCAGCAAAACTAATTTCTAATCAGTGTTGTACATATTTTATTATAATCCATTGTACCATCATGATGCATGATAATCTGTCACTCACACCTGTCTCTCCTGTAAAAAAAAAGCGTTTAAAAAACATAAGGAAAAATACAACCAAAAAAGACACATCAACGAAGAGACTAAAACAGTCTCTGAACCCCATTGACATTGACCCAGACAGCAGACAGGCATGCAAATAATAGACCTATTGATAATTCCATGTTCGGACTTTCCCCGCAGGGTTGCGCAATCAAGCAATTTCCTCATGTACTATATTTGTAAATATAGTACATCGTGAGCGCCGACTGGTACGGTCGACCTTTGATATTGCGTTAAAACAGTCTGGGGAAATGTGGCATTAGGCCTATTGCATGTTAACACACTAGGTGAGTTTCTCTGAAATGAGACACGCATGGAAAAGCACTATGTACCGGTACGTGTTTGCTCCGCATGCGCCGTTAATCCTCTAGAAGATTATACTCTTATTTACTCTTATAAAGAGTAAAATTTGGAACCTTTTCTTTTCTTTTCTCTTCGGTTATTCCGATTAGTTGTGATGGAAAGAAAAGGTTAATTATTGTTTCCCGTAGCGCATCATACAATTTGGTGCATGATATCGGGTAGCATAAAAAGTGATTATGGTTTTGGTTTGTAGTTTTATCGTGATCGCATTCTCTGACCTTAGTGGCTTTTATTGTTATTTTCCATCTCAAACTGTACATAAAAGTAAGAATGAAAATGAAGTCCCTGAAGCGGAACCTACCTGCATGACATGCTTGGCAGTATGGCTCAGTTGATTTGGCACAAGCAAAGGTGCAAGGCTCACACTTGTTCAACACAGGCACCCAAATAAAGTCCGAGGAATTAAAATGGTCTCGACATATCTTATTTTTCCCCTCTGCAACAGAAGATCAAAGAAATCGGGCCTTTTGTTCAAGGCAATTTGGACTTGTCAAAAATACTTAGCATTACCTCTACGCTGGAAAAATGAGAAAAAAAATGAGAAAATATAATGAAAAGTAAGAGAGAACGGAAAAAGAACAGTTGTCGGTTTTCATGGTGAATTGACGTCTCCACTCAGGAGTACTTGTGCGCAAATGACTGCGCGCGAATAATACAACCCCATCCCCAATACATGAAGATGTGCACACACGGGAGAATGTGTGTGAGTTTGAAATTAGAAACTGACATTGTTAAACTCTTTGCATGAGCTCACCATCCCCAATGTTTCTTCCGATGTTAGCGCTGGCACGCTTCAGCCTGACGTGTCTGGGGGGTATAAGCGTACAACTCCCAAGGGTGAACAGGCAAAGAAGCCAACTTACCGCCTGCAGTGATTTTGTGAGACACATGATGGTATCTACAAATTTACAAAAGACAGTGGCAAGAACTGTTGTCAGACATAATAGTTACTCGAGTCGAGTCATTCTAACGTAATGACCGTCGGCGTCGAGTCATTAGGCAAAACAGTCGAGTCCAGTCAAGTATTTAGCTCGAGTCATTTCGAGTCACTAAATATTACTTTTGAACACCCAACCATTATTAAATCAAGGAAGAAAATTATTTTTGGCATTTTAAATACTCGCCAAACAGCTGAGAAATCAAGTCTAATTTACGTACAACCTCACCATGACGATTAAAAACTGGAGGCCAGGGAATTTTCCTCCTGATGCGTATAAAAGCAAAGAAACGTTTTTTGTCACCGTTCTTCCCACAAAAAAGCTTGTTAACATATCTTGAATAAGAAATGTTAAGGACAATTGTAACCATTTTACGACCTTTCTGGTCAGAGTTCTAATAGTCAACAGCGCCTGTTCACTGGGCATAGCGTTTTGCTTGTTTGTTTGTTGCTGTGTTTACTGCTTTATAGATGCATCAATCGAAGGACAAAAATGTTTTGAGTACTGTGTCAAGTTACGAGGAATGGGAGTATGCGCTGAGGCTTTAAACGAGTCCAAAAACCCATTCCAATTAACATCAATATTACCATTGCTACCGCTTTCTCCCATGAAAGATTACATCGAGCTTTCAATTATGTTCAAGGCCTATAATGTCTTGTAGTTGTATTTCACAACATCAAACTAAGTTCTAATTATCTACTCCTATTTCCCTGAGAGATACCGGTATATATTTCAATTCTCTTTGGTTGAGTTATTAACCAAAATTGTGTTGTTTTTATTTCGATGCAGAACTGTCAACGATATTTGGCTTTTTATGTGACGGTCTGATGGCAAAATGATGCAGAAGCTGCAAGCCCATTGGGAATTTTTAATTCTCCTTCCTAATACCACCAAAGCCCAGCCAATTTACTTGAATCTGTTCTTGGCCGAGAACGCGCCCAAATTTGAATGCTTTTTGCAAGTACTTTCAACTTGAATTCTTCTTGAGTGCTTCAGTTTTGAAATTTTTTGCTCATAAGATTAAATAATAATGAATAATCTTTTCCTCGGATTGAAGGATAATCGTGAACCTGTGCTCAAATTGGAGTTAAAATGAACAGCCCTTGAGCTACTTCAGAATGAACGAATAAATTATTTAACGTTCTAATGCAAAGAATACAACTGGATCAACATGGAAAGAAAAACGCTGTTACTGTTCAAGCTATAGCTAGACCTACAACTGTAATCAAAATGCAATAGGTGAACACTTACATGACATTTCTTGTTTCCGTGTTTGTGTTAACATGTGCTAGTCATGAAAGCTAACGTGGTTTGTACAGCGTACTAGAGATGACAATCGTTTTTATGCCACTCAGTCATGGAGCTATGGCCTTATGGGTAGGTTAACCCCTCGAATGTGTCTCTTACTGATCCATACAGAGACAGGGGTTTTCCACCTGCAAATTGCTTCCTATATACACAGACACTCGAGTGGTTTTGTACATGATTTCTATCGGTTACGGGGGAAGAAATAAATACATTGCAATAGAAAAAGTGCTAAGCTGTCAATAATTATTCTAATAACATTTCTTCCTAAATGTGGAAAATTAGTGTTATGCGGTCACGGAGAACACTATACTGAATCAATAGCCCGTTGACTCACAAGCGGCAACGACTGTATGCCCTCTGCCCCTGACTTTGGCAATTTTTCAGGGCTTATTCGGTGTTGGAGTTTGGAGTTGTTGGTTGGAGTGATGCCACTCGTCATTAATTGGCCTTCCACACTCGCATTTACCGTGAGCTGAATTTACCAAGCATTATCCATCGCTTTTCAGAAAGTTGTCGCCGCTGTTTGACTTCAATACAAATGTACTTTCAAACACTACACATAATACACGTGCATAGGTATGTGCATGAAGTGTTACTCTGTTGACAGACTGGTTCTATTATACTGAATCAATAGGTCGTAGACTAACATAACAAGCAGCAAATACTGTGCTCTCTACCTCTGACCTTGGCGTTTTTTCTGGGCTCATTCGGTGTTGGAGTTTGATCACGCTTGCATTTTATTATATCGACGTGTTACAACCAAAACCTAACTGAAATCAATTTGTCTACATAAGTAAAAGATTTTGGCTAGGAAAAATGTGAGTTTGACACTCAATATTATGTATTATATTCATTTTATTATGGTTTACTTATACTTCCTGCGTCTGTGCAATTTCCCCTCCATTTATCAATTATTTACTCCAGAGCTGGATCAAAGAAATAAGCTGTTGGAAAAGTCAATGAGTTCACGCATTCCAACTGAAATGTCTTGTCAGGGAATCATAATTTAAATCTACAAGCTATGTACAAACCGTTTCACTCTGTGATCATGATACTTAAAGGAACCAGGACATGAATTTTTCTTGGAACCACTTTTTGTGTATCTCTATACTCTTCTCCCATGTATGAAGACTGTTTGAAATCTTTTTTGAGTTTCGTGAACTGAAAATTGACCAAGCACTTATGGACAAGTTAGGGCGCTTTTGCACTGATGTAAATCCAGGAAGACATGGTTCAGGTTGCATGTTTTCATGTTCAAATTGTGAACCAAATTTGCTATCTGGGAACATTTCTGTGAAAAGGATATTTGTTGAATTACTGCCATATACTTACACAACAATAAATTGCAATAGGAAATAAAATCTGTCATAGTAGTGGTTACAAAAATCTAGAAATTTTCTGTGCACAAATCGGTGCAACATTGAGATTCAATGCCTTGGATGACATCACAGTTTGTCTCGTGAATATGCAAATAACATTAGCATAAAAGCAAAAAAGCATCAAAAGTCGGGGTTAAAACTGGAAAACAAAAATTTTAAATCAGGTTAATTGAAACCGAAAGATGCAATTTCAAGGGTTTTTAGTCAAATTTATAAAAATATTATTATTTCCTGGTTCCTGTAAGGACAATTGTAACCATTTTACGACCTTTCTGATCGGAGTTCGATTGGTCAACAGCGAATGTTCACTGGGCACAGCGTTTTGTTTGTTTGTTGGTGTGTTTGTTGGGGGTGTTTGTTTGTTTGTTTTTAAACAAATGCTTCATAGTTGCATCCAAGGACATAGATGTTTTGAGTACTGTGTCAAGTTACGAGGAATGGGAGTATGCGCTGAGGCTTTAAACGAGTCCAAAAATCCATTCCAAGCAACATCAATATTACAATTGCTACTGCTTTCTCCCTCGAAAGGTTACATTGAGCTAAGCTAAGTAATTTATTTAAGTGTTCAAAATTAGCATGTTTCAGAGACAGCAACTGCCTCATGACTGATCTTGCTGGTTGAACTCTGCAATGCATGATGGTCACTCATCACTGGATTAGGACAGTTACTACAGAGCTAACCAAGTACGGATGATCTGTAAACACAAGGTCATTGATAGTTTCATTCTCTTGGTTATGCTGACACTGAGGTGTAACATCACCACAAGTTGAATCAAGTCCATTGCCGACGTAACAAGGGCCAGACCCTGTGTATTCGTTGAATCAGGATCAGCCCAGCGAACATTAAAGTCGCCAGCAACAATGAAACATCGATGGTTAGTAATAAGTGCAAGCTGGATATCAGTATGAAGTTTACCGCAGTAAGTGGAAGTCGACACAGGACACAAAGCAGCCACTGGCTACTGCGGGGTATATTTCTACACAGGAGATCTTGAAGTCTACATGTTCAAGCACGGGAACATGACAAGGGCAGAGATTAGATTTAAATGCAATTAGAACACCCCACCTTTACGTTCAGTCGCATGACCAGTGTTACGATTATGTCTAAATGTGACGAAATTGTAGCTTTGAAAGGTAGGTTCAATAACAAATTGTCCGCAGTCGGCCATGCTAATGTAATCCCAAGAAAATCTGGTTGAGCAGAATCCAGCGATGCACAAAGCTCTATGATTTTGTTTTTAATGCTTCGTGCATTAGAAATGATGAAAGTCTCCAGGAGTTGACGTGTCTCCAGAAGGGGAGGGCTAGGAAAGGGGAATGGGTACAGATCCATCCCCTTCCTCAAATGAATCAACAAAAAATGAGTCTTACAAAAGAGGCAAGTGAAAACAAACGCATGTGCGGCAAAGCCATGATGATGTAGGCATAACATTTATTCAGTCTATTTGATAATTGGCATCACAACTGTCACACCGAAGACTTCGCTGATTTTTCCTCACTGATTTATTACAGATATCACAGGAATTTTAGCAGGGCCGGGGTTAGCATAAACATTCCCGCCGAGTAGTATCATCAAGGGTGCTTTTAGGGAAAAACGGTCCAATTCCAACCCAGACAATGGCCTGCAAATCCTGTTCGCAGTTAGCGAGAAACACTACAGAGGGTATCTAGTGACATGAAGCGATACCTTTGGAGGGAACCCAAAACGTTTTTGGAACTATGCAAAGACGCGATCAAGAACATATGCACTACTTCTAGTTCTCAAGAATGAGGTAAATGGAAGACAAGCAAATAAATCAGTCAGCAAATGGTCAATTAAAAGTGATACTTTTAATTGACTTAAAATTATTAACTAAAATTATTAATTATAATTGAAAATAATAACTAACAACGAAAATTATTCATTAATAAAATTATTAATTAACCTATTGATTCAGGTTCATTTCAGAAAAGCTGTCAGAGACAGCCTTTAATATTGACGACCATTGTTTGTGTGAATGTGTACTTTTGCTTTTTGCTGTGTGATTTTTGTCTATTTGATGGCTTTTATAATATTTGGATGATTTGTGATCCATTTTACTGTACCTGTCCAGGTTAATTTTCTCATCAGTTGGGACTGCAGTGGAAATAAGTTAATTGATTTTTTTGGCGTCATCTTTGTTATTTTTACTTTCGGAAATTGTTGAGTTTGCATTTCTTTAATTTAGTTTTTGTAATAACATTTTCTGGAAATAGTAAATTAATCAAATCAAATCAAATACAGTATTTCCCGCTCCGAGCAGGAATAAATGAGGGGTGGTTTTGAAAGGAAATCGCAGATGACGCTCAGCACACGCAACAAGTTTTAATTATATGCGTGCACGCCGAACGCGTGTTAGAACCTGGTTGGAAAACTTAGTGTCACCTGTCTTTCTTTTGCCGGCAAGGGTGCACTTCAGCTCAGGGCGGATAACGTTTCAGTCACTCGGTATTCACAGAGCAACATTCTGTGCAGTAAGTTGAATGACTCTGTTCTCTCCTTAAATCATTATGAACAACAAAAAGCAGTAGCTCTGAGTTGGCCGAGTGGTTAAGCTGGCGGTTGTTGGATCGTTAGACGCTGGGTTCGAATCCAAGAAGCGACTTTTTATTTTCCCGACAC